ACAACTTTGCGTTTTTATTAATCTAAATAGAAAATACATAACCAACTAAGACAGCCTAGCAATCCCTTTTGGTCTCCAATCCGAAGCTTTAGCAGGAAATCTGCGCGTGTACCTCCAGTGGTGTCTGCAAGCTGTGACTGCCAGTGGTGCAGGACTGGCAAAGACAGGCTCTCTAAATGCCCCGCTGCCAAAGCAGATAATCTGCGTGACATAACCAACCCAGGCACAGCAGCTACTGCTCTTCCTTTATGGTAGAAGGTTCTGTATCCGTAGATAGGAAACGGTCCGAATCACTCACTACTCCCATGAACTGGAACACCAAAGCAAAATCCTGTCCATCTCAGGTACTATAACAGAGGAACTGAATACTCCAGCCATGCATTAACATTTCCAGGATAAGGTAGCCACTCGTAATGGCTTCACTATATAATGACCTATATTAAATACACACATATATACACACACACACATATTTACACATATATTTCATATTAAAACAATGGCAGGGCATTGCTTCAGAAATCATGGGGCTTTTTGCTGCTATCTGCAAATGGCTGACATCACATTTCATAATTTGCCCTAATGTCCACCCTGCACCTTTCTTCTTTTGCTGCTCTTGAGCTGAGACAGAATCAAATCACCAGCCAACCTAATTTTTTAGTGTTCTCCTAGAGAGGAGGAGGAGGAGGAGGAAGAAGGAAGAGAAAAAGATATAAAACTGGTCCTTTAAAAAAAACCAAGCATTTAAGCTGCTTGTCAGTCGTTTTCCTGACAAGGCCACTTGAATGTATTCAGGAACATTTGCATAAATGCTCACAGTGAGTTCACCGTGGCAGCCAGCGCTAATGGTACATAAAGTAATTTAGTCACTTCTCTTAGGCATCCTGTCAGGGTGATAAGCACCCCCTCTTTGCCTTGTTGCATATTAGATCATTAGATAATAAAGTGTTAGAGCATGCAAACTGACAGGGTCTCAGGGACTATCATTTTTCGAGGGCATTGCGTCCTGCCACGGAGGAAAAATAATAGAGAAATTGATGCTGCAATCGGCTTTACGTTCTAGTAGAGCCATTCAAAGATTTGGGAAGAAAAAGAATTTTTACTTTGCAGCAATATGAGAGTTTTAACCAGAAACTTTGCAGACATCTGCAGTGGTGGACTTCATGCTGGTAAACTTGAAAAGGGTTGTTGCAAACCCTGTCAGAATTCCCCCCCTTCCATAAGCTTAGTCACTTAAATTGCATTGGAGAGGTTTTGCTTTTAAAATTGACACCCTAGGACGAACTACAAGCTGAAATATATTCTACTCGTCGGGGCCTATTGGCTCTTCTCTATACATCCTACTATATTTGTACAATTTAGAAAGGTCTACCACACCAGCCTTCTGGTTTACCATAAATATCAAACAAGCAAGGATCCAACTATTTGTGAATGAAAAAGTGATAATTATTGAAAGCCACAGATTACTGTGGCTCACCCTACTTATACCACACAGAGATCTATGAAATAATTGGCCTCTGCCAGCTATTACTCTTGAAAGATAGATATATTTATTTGAAATAGGAGCTTCTTAACCCGCTGGTTTCAAGGAGGACAGTGTGTGGATGTGAAACCATGATCTAGGTTTCTACTTATATTCAGAGAGATGAGCTACGAAAAGGAACTTTCCTTTCACTGTCTGACAAGCAAGATATAAATAGAGATGTGTTGGATGTCCCAAAAATAATCCAGGCTACCTGCTAATGAGATGGTAAAAACCCGAATGTGGAGACACTGGCCTCCTGAGTGGCTCAGGAGGTAAAACTTTCTTTCCAGCTTTTTGGCACCCAGAGTCTTTTGTAGGTGTCACACAAACTGTGACTCAATGTTTAAGAGCAGCATTTCCCAACACAGCTTCGTAGGGAAAAATAAAATCAATAAAACTAAGCGAGCAGCACACCTCCTTGCTACACACCTTCTCCCCCTTCCCCAATTCAAACCTCACGCAAAGACAGTCAGGCATTCATCATTATTGCGACCAGATATCTGTGTTAAGGAGTTAAATATCTAGCAAAGTACACAGGAATACATTTGGCTAGGGCAGCATTTCATAACCTATGATCAGAAGTGGCTCAGCAGAGCAATAAACCAGGGACAAACTAGCCACGACTCTGTTAGTTTCCTGTTTTGTCACTTACAGATATTGTTTAGGTCAATCTGTCTTCCCTCTTAGGAGGACGGAACAGGTAGAAAAAAAGAAAGATGAACAAACTATCTTTTCTACCTAAACTTGAGGATACAATCCAAGGTGAAAATTCCAAACATAGAAGGAAAATAATAGCTTTTGGGACCCAAACGAAAGATAAAAATTAATTGCAGTGGAAGAAATTCATCTGTTCCAAGGGTCTAAAGTTCTTGGTGACCATCCAAAACTTCATTAGTATTAAGCCCCATTGAAACTTTTCCCGTTTTTTTCATTCAGTTAAATGCTTTTGACATATAATACCAACATTTAGCACAATTACTGGAGGGTTTTTTTTTTTTTTTGCCATCTCTTGGACAAAAATATACACAGAATTCCTGGAGAGATGATGGACTGAAGGATTTAGCTTAAAAATAAGAGTTCTACCAAGCCTTTGGGAACAGTCTAATTTTGCAGTGTAGAAATTGCCATTCAAAAGTAAGAATTTACTAGTGGTTGCTTTATGAGGTTGCTTGAGAGGTACCTGGGAAAGGAGATTAGAAAAATCACCTTTCCCATCAAAACGGGAAGGAGATAGTTTGCAGATGTTGACTTTTAATGGTAGCACTGTATCTAGGATTTGCATGGATAAGTATTATTCACACATATAATGCATAGTATTACTTTTTTTTGTTTCTTTTTGCTAACAGAACCCTTCACACAGTTCGAGTGGGAATGCTAGACGTGGTATAAGGAGATACTACTATTACACCATGCACAAGAACAGGAACATTTACAAGTATGAGAAAGCAAATAAAGCAAATATAGCTTTGACCAAAAGCGTGCGCTGAGGAGACTGCGCGGGGTGGGGGGGGGGGGAAATAAAAGATAGTATCTACTTTAGTAGCAACAGACGTCAAAAAAAGAAATAAATAAAAAAGCCTTTTTATTTTTAAGACTAGACTTAATGGTAAGATTACAAAGTCGAACAGAGTGAAGTTTCCTTTTGTAAGGTTCTGCCTCCTGCTAATTAATAAAGACACAGTTCATACATTCCTTAGAAAAAGTGAGCAAAAATTATGACAGCAGTTTGTTTATTAAATTAGGCTGTTGGCAGGATGAAAAAAATTCTATAACATGAATTATGGCTGAAAATGGCTCATAGCCTACATAAAAAGTTAGAGCTAAATAAATACAGATGTAAGTTATGTTTATATAATGAGAAACGCTGCTGAGCTAAGAATTTTAGGTTAGTAAGTGTGAACTACAGCCCTGATCCTGCAAACACTTATCAATACACTCAACTTTACTGACACAAGAAGCCTCATTGATCCCAACAGGACCATATGTGTGCATAATCTTAAATATATGCATAAGTGCTTGCAGGATTGATGCCTGAAAGTGGAACAGAATGGGATGCTATTTCCACAGGAATGCACTGAGCGGTAGAAATTCACATGTTCACCCATCTCTTGCTGTTGATAATCTCTTTCAGCATATCTAGTTAACATTTTTCTGAGTGGCATTCACTTTCCTGGAGAAAACTTTATCTAGTTTCTTCAAATTCTTCAGGAAAAAAAAAAATCTATTTAATTATTCATCACATCCTTAGCAAATATTTGTGAAACAAACCAGCATAAAGGAGCAGAGTGCCTCCTACACTCAACAACTTCAGTGGAAGCTGAGGGCACACATCTCTTAGAGGGAGCAAGCACCTATTGAATTTAGGATTATAAGCAGCTTTGAAGACAAATAACAATTCTACCAAGCTGCAACAGGGAGAGGGGAGTGAAATGCCCTCTATTTTTGTTTTGTTTTTCAGTAGTAGTCATCAACTTTGAGGACAAAGAGCAAAAATAAAACATTAATCAAATCCAGATTTTTCAAAGTATATTTGCACTCAGTAACTCCCATTTGGGGCACCTACAGTCACAAGCAGACGTTCTCTTCCAGGTCCAGTTGATCTTACGGAGAAGATTACTGTCCCCTAGACTGCTTCCAGCTATCTGTCCCCATCCCACCCTTGTGGGTGTTCACGATCCTTCCAGAACTGCCAGCTAAACTGTCCTGCAGGATCTCAAACAATACAGGTTGGCAAAGAGCTATTATTTAAACTATTTAAATCTAACGAGCTTCTTTGGACTGAAGCAGACTAGGGAGCAATCAGACAATCATCTTAACTGGCATATCCATGGCATGGAGAACAGCCTCCGGCAAGGAGGAGAGGCCAGCAGCTGTGCCATGTGGGGAACAGTATCTTCCTCAGCTGGCACAGCTGGAGCCAGAAGAGAACATTTGTCCATGGCTTGAGTAAGCAGATGGATTTCCAAGAGGGCTCTGCTTTCATTTAGGGCAATTCAAAGGAACAGCTGGATCTCCTAGAGAGCTCAGCACTCTATAGATAGTAGAAATACAATCCCAGTTTCGGGTGCTGAGCACTCCAGAAAATATGCAATATCCTTTAGATGCAAAGTCAAAAAATCAAGACAGTTTGAAAAAAAAAAAAAAAAAAAATCAGACTGCAACTTTGGATGCTGAATAGAAGCAACCAAAAAAAAAAAAAATGCTGCACGGACACATAGGACAGATTCACAGATTCTGCACCCATGTTTGCCTACCAGTTTGTCATTTCACTACATTTAGTGCTGACCTACTTAAAAATCCCACCTTTAGTCTGGAGGCCAGTCTCTTTAAAATATCTGGTCCCAAAGGTATGGACAGTTACAGGACAATTTGAAACCAGAGGTCAGAGGTAGAAACCAAAAAAATCCACATTTAAAGTAGCAATGCCAACCAATGAAAATGATATGCCTACCATGTTCCAGATAAGAAGGCGTACCTTCCGAGGGATCGAGTCTTCGAGCTCTCCGCCCGTGCTTGGAATTGTTGTGTACAAACATATTGTCCGACACTGCCAACACATGGCCATCAACATTGACTGTTGTAGACACCACAACCTGCAAGCACAAGAGCAACATGGAGGAACATTTGGAGATATACATATATATATATATTTAAGCAGCATAGAGTGTAATAAACTCAGTTAAATAAATAACAGCTGGGAGCTGTAGAAAATTGCATAGCTATTTCGCATAATAACTGGTGCTTATGCTGTACAAATCTAACAAGAGACGCTATTGATGAGTGGGTCTTTGGCATCAAAAGCTTTTGATGCAGTTTTAAGTCAAATTGCAGAGTTTGTAGCTGCACAGCAGACGGCACACTGTTAACCATCATTTTAACAAGAGGATCTTTATTAAGTATTTTTTCCCCTATATACAAGGGCAGCTGTGTTTCACCCTAAATTATCCTTCAGTTTCTGTGCTGAAGTAGATAGAGCTGTTGACTTTGCAAATGAGAATCGATTCAGAATAAAAGAAAAGTGTATTTTGTGAAGCTTCAACGAGAGCAGTCGTATTCCTCCCCCAACCCGCCACCACCGCTCTCCCTGCGGTGCAGGCACTACAGGTAGTTGGACTCGCCCAGATTTCTCCTGCTCCGAGCTCTATCGCAGGGAGTACACTTAAGTGCATGTTTGTGTACGCACGTAGGTTTGACACGGGGGACTCGATCTGCTGAACACAACCCTATTCACCCTGCGTGAGTATTATTTGTACTTCCCAATCTATCTTCATGTCAGTATGCGGGGCTTAGTTTGAGCATTGCCCTGGCTGCGGGATCCAACGTGGCTGCTCCCAGGACGGCAGTGGAAAAGCCAGCGCGGCATGCGGTGGCCAGAGCAGGAGATCCAAGTGCTCAACGGTGCTGGTGGCCTCAGGGACCCGTATCCATGAGGCTCGACAGATGCAGCCCACGAGGACAACCTTGTGCTAAACCGTCCAGGCTGAAGGTACACAAGGAAACAGGGTGGACGCGGGGGCAAGTCGCCTGGCAGAGCTGCATGCTCGTCGCACTCGGTCTCCACTCCACGCTCCAACCACTCGACCCCGCAGCCTCCCTCGCTTTAATTCTGCCGTCCCGCTCCCTGCCTTTTGCGACACCTGCCCCCTCCCACCACCCTTCTCCAAAACGCGTCATTCCCAGGGTTTTACCCCAGCCAGAGATTCGGCCGGGAGACTGCTGCCTGTTTGCCAGGAGCGCGCGCTCCCTCAGAGAACTTCGCCTAAAACAATAAGAAGAAATGACCTACACTTCTCCTTATACTAAACAGGGAAAGGGATTAAAAACTGAAACCCACAGAGATATGTTTATTCATGCGACCTCTTACAACCAAATATAATAATTGTCTGTTAATTGCAGTTTCAGCTCCCACCTCATGCTTCGACATGTGAAACAGCAATCAGCAGCTCCTGTTTAATCCACCTATTATGTTGACTAATTAACTTTGCTCGACAGTTTATTTCTTCCTCCATTATCAGCCCCTGTCAGCCGCAAGCACATTGCCGCAAAGGGGGACCTCAGCCCTTTTGATTGATCACCGATAGATTGACATGCAGATTAATTTAATTAGAATCACCTCACTTGAGAAATGAAAGACAATGGCAAGGGGGCTAATAGATCTGCTCTTATAATGAGGCAAGCCTCCAGAGCCACGGCAGAGGATTTCTGATTTATTTTGCCGAATTCCCCAGTCGCTCTGAAAGGCTCTTGCTTTAATTGTTCTTGGTTTTGAGAGGCTTTAGCCTCTGAAGAGGTGAAATGCTTTACAAGGATTGGCAAACATTGCTTCAGCTCTCTCAGGAAGCCGCTGCCTCTCAAAGTTGGTCGAATGGGGACACTTAAAGGATCGCTTACAACAATTCAATTTCACCACTTGAACAGGATTTAAAAAAAAAATTAAACAAGAAATGTTCTACCTATTTCTGACCACCTATAAAATGCCTAAAAATATAAAGCAAGTGAAGCTGCTAAACTATCCATAGCTTATCCAGGAAGCCTTTGTCTTTAAAAAGAGGAATACAAAAAAAAAAAGTTTACATCGAAAGTCCCTGAAACAGTCCCTCAGATTGGCATACCAGGCAATAGACTTCTGTCTGTGTTTTAAGTCAAAGATATTAAAATACAGAATAAATGATTCAAGAGCTCCTACATATGGAAACTTGGGAAAAAGAAAGCACCAAACACTGTAGGTAAGTTCTTCTGAAATCAAACTAGGGGGAAAAAAAACAAGCCCTATATATAAAATTCCAAGAGGGATTTCAAAAGTAATTTATCCATTACATTCCTGAGGGATAGAATAAAGTTTATGATATTTTCAATAAAATATGATCTTATAATAAGTGGCTCAGAGTTTGCAGTCTTGTTTGTGCACTTACAACCATGGTAAATTCTTTGCAACTGGGATTTTGAACCAAATTCTTTGCTGGCATTGTCTGTCATAGCTCCACGATTCATATCGACCCCTTTCTCCTTCTGTAGGCCTACTCAGGTGCATATGAAAATTAAGATTATCATCACTAATAATAAGGACCACAATCTGAAATATTTTCCTCAAATAACACCCCCAGTCCTGAAGCTGATCAATCAGGTGCTGAAACCCAGACTGGATGTTTCTAGGAATAGGATCAATGGATCAATGTTAATAATAGTAATTTAGCTTCCAAAACTTTAAGATTTACATATGTAAGTAGCTGCCTCTATAGACGTGCCTTCCTAGGCAAAGGCTCCACTTGAGAAAACAATCCTAGTGCGATCAGTTTGATGTGAGTAAATCTACATTTAATTTACCCCCTCTCAGTTTCCGAAACTGTTGATGCAACATATTTTGAATTACTTAACAGTGTCTTCCTACCTACCTCCTGAACAGAGAGTTTGATTTACTACAAAGAGACCACATCGGTGTGGTTCTTCAGTGTCGTTAGCAGAAGAAACTATAAAAGGAATCCCCAAGAGAAACTGTTTCCAGTCTCAGGAAATGTAGAAAAAAAAAAGTGGTTACTCTTATGTGTCTGTCTGAAAAAGAAACGATTATTCATAGTGCACCTGTAAGAAGCAGCACACACTTACCGCCTAATTCTTAAAACACAAAATCTCATTAACCCAAAAATACTTACTATACATCACACTAACGAAATATTAATGCCCTAATTATTAATAGAGAAAGAATATACCTCGAGTATTGTGCACCACAGTTACATACTTGGATTGCTTCAGAGCACTTACAAACTTATGAGTTATGCTCATATTTTTTAATCTAAAAAAATACAACACTCTCCTCATTTTGATTTTGAAACGATTGGGATATATTCAAGTTAAAGCACATGCTAAAACTAATTTGTGGAGAAATCATAAAATTAGGGGGAGGGGAGAGCCAAAGTAGATGTGAAATGGGCACTGAGGCATCCTAAAACACAGACCATAGCAAGAGGGAAAGGCACACCACAGTTTAATAAATGATTAATGAGGTGCTGACACATTAATGTAAGCACAGGGACAACCAGGCCTGCCAAATCTCAAACCTTTCCAAATTTTGTCAACAAAACAGTTTTAATTTGGGACAGGCAAACATGGAAAATGATTTTGAGCTTTAGCTTCAGCCCTTCATAGATTTTGAATCTAAATCCTGTATCAACACCGGGGGAGACAGAGGTATGAAAAAACACATTGGTTTACAACTTTGTTCAATCAAGTTGGCACTATCAACCGCATTAACATATCATGGCTCTGTGAATTATTCTGCCTGCCATTAAATAGTTCAGTTGCGAATGCTTTGGGGGGAAAAAAAAAAAAAAATCTGAGACCAGGAGCCTGAAGATCAAGCTATTTATCCACGTTTAGCACTCGGCCTGTTTATTTGTTATGGTACCTCGCCTAATATATCAAAATTAAGCATCACTTGACTCCTCATTTTTAACCACAGCCCATTAAGCTTTGCCAATTGATTAAGACATAGCATGTTCCTTGTGCTTTCAATTTTCTCCGATGTATGGTGAGGGCTCTGATTTTTTTTTTTTTTTTTTTTGACATCCCCATCATCCAGTGACAAAGGCAGAGAATATCTGATTAAGATTATTTCCAGATTTGAAGTGCGTCTTTAGTGTTTATCCTGTAACTCCTGTGTTTGCTGCTCTTGTCACTTCTTCAAAACTATGCAAAGTCATGGCTTAAATAAAATCTTATGTTTTCATCAGCACTTGGTAACCTCTTCATACGATTTCTTGACTTCCCTATTCTGATAACTTAAAAATATATATATATAAAAAAATCACTCTCACTTTAACAAGACACTTAAAAATGTGCCTAACTTAGAGCACGTAAGTACAATACGTTCAGTAATTTTGCTCACGTGCTTAAGGACAGGCCAGGTGCTTAATTACCTCATTGAATTGGGCCATAGCTCTCATTGCTATTTTCCTCTCTCTCTTTTTTTTTTCTTCCACCTTTTCCTTCTCTGGGGATCAAACCTTGCATGTCCATATTCCATTATGTGGGATTCATGAAGCATCATCTCTATCTCTTATGCAAATTTGCAATAAGACACAAGTGGCTTCAATTCAAACATGAGTGGCAGCATCCCATGGAGGCAAACTAGCAGCCTAGGCTGAGGAAGAGGTCGTGGTAACAGCATCGAACAGCATGGCAATTTCTAAGTGACTTTAAAGGTTTTCATAATAAGCGAATGTTCAGGGTTTTATACAGTGACTCAACCTCAAAAGTTTCCTCTTAATGAAAATCTGACATATGTCAGTTTGCAAGCAGTTGTATTAAAGCAAGAACAACAAGATAACTGGGCCACCTGGGTTTCATTAATTACAATAACATACAAGACTGTTTAGGTCATATGAATGAGTTTGCAGTGCTGAAAAAGAAAATCTGGGCAGAGTTCACCCACAATACCATCTACTTATTAATTGCTATTATTACCACTCATTGTGGCACTACAGCCCATCCCACCAAGCCTGGTGACTTATTGAGTTGAAGAACACAAACACAGACACAGCATCTGCTCCTCAGCGCTTCCGGAATAATAAGGCAAGGCTGGGCAAAGGCGAATCAAGGTGGTATCACCACGACTTTTGTACCATTGGGCTGATGAAACACACAGAGATTAAATAACTTTCTCAAGGACAAGCAGGGAGTCTGCAGCAGAGCTGAATACTGAACTCGGCTGACTTGAGTCCCTGTATAGTACTTTGCTTGGTTTTTCCTATCTGATTGTCTCTTTCTGTTAAGAAAGCTAGGGCCAACCCCATGCAAACAGCTCCAGCACACACTTTTGCTGGCACTTGGCACCCCTGCTTTGCAGCATCCAGTTGTCACATGCCTGGACATCTCAGACATGCAGAGAAATGCACTTCCTCCCAGGCCCGCAGCTGCTTTCACGTTAGGCTTACAACACTAGTATATTTGCATGCAAAGTTCAGGGTAAAACTTCCTGACTCATTTTTATACATGAGTCTGAATGAAGATTCACACACAGGTCTTCTGAATCAAGATATACTCTCCCTCAGCCCTGTGCTTTCTTAACCTTTTTTAGATCACACTATAACCAGACATTCCCAGCTGCAGACAGAAATACTATTACAAAGGGAAATTTTCTGCAAGATCAATCCTTAGATAGTGTAAGACTAGCGTATGTACCTGGCCTTTCACTGATTCCTCCATGAAAAACACATAATTCTAGTATTTCCTAGCAATTTTGGGGGACTGATGAATGATACCAACCAAAAGGTGGACAAGTCCCTGTGCCCCTTGGCACTCAAACACAGATAAAGGAATAAAGGAAAGCCCCAAATTTAGTGCAAAAAAAAGGGTATGCTACTATTTAAAAACTATTTGGAAATCTCTTTATCTCGTCTTTTTAATCAGGCCTTTGATATAATTTTAATCTTTCAAGTCAGTGGCAATATTTCAAGGCCCCAAGGTAGCTGACAGCAACCCCCCCACTGACTTCACAGGGGCCAGGCTTTTACGTGGTACCTATACAACACGTAGTACCTATACAGCAGTGTCTCAGACATCTAGGTGCATCATATCGTCAAGACGCTATTTTTATGCTTGCTCCTTTTCACCCAAGAAACAATAAATGAAATCAAAACGCAGCAGAGTCTGGCTGTTTTAAGTCTCCTGCTAAAAGAGCAACAAGTTCAAGTAAAAGCGGCTGGGCGAAGCCGGAAGGGGGGGGGGGGGGAGAGAAAGAAACAAAAGCAGCTATTGTAAAACAATAAGCCCAGGCATTTAACAGAATGCTGCAAGCTTCAATACCACACTGTATTATAGTACGAGCGGTTTGCTCCGCTGAAAGTGATTAATTTCTTGAAAATGCTAAGGTCACACTAATTGACATGACCTGTGTAATTAAGCAGTCTCTGTTTACACACAGAAAGCTCAACTGCTGTGAAGCTGGGTTTGTATGACAGAACGTCTTTACAAGTCAAGAGATCAACAACCTTTCTTATGTCCTACCTACTCGCCTACACAGGCCCCTGATTGCCGTTCTGAGAGAACAGGCGAAGGCATTACCATATGAAAATCAGCCTGTGTGCTGGGCGAGTACAAAACCAACAGAGTGTACATATTGTGAAGCAAGCTCTGACAGGCCCCAGGGGTGATGGCTTTGGCCTAAACCCCTGCGCTGGTGAGAGTCCTTTTTGAGACAACGCTTTCTCCTTCAACGATAACGCCCGCTTGAATCACCGGAAAAAGGGGATGGAGGGAGGACGTGGGGGAGAAGCCGAAGGCTCTGCCCTTCTAACACTGGCTCTTACACTGATTAGTTTAATCCCTGTGGCCACATCTCTTCAATTCTGCCCTTCTATGCTCAGAGGGATAAACAAGACCTCCCTCTACCTTCCAGCATTGTTGCAATTAAGCAGTTCAACAGAAGACACATGCTCTATATATACACATAGTATCACCATTTACACAGCATTTAGCACTTTTATTTAAGCGCTAAAATGCCAGAAAAGAAGCAAAGAAGGTCCTAAGCTACTGCAGAAAGCAGCAGTCATCTTTTGGAGCCTTTTCCCTCCAGAGACCAATGCAGTCTAAAAGACACATCTCCTTCCTCTGGTCCTTGAGGCAAACCCTCATTGAAAGAATCTAACATGTTTCCTCCCTGGGCTCTGCGCACCCCTTCCCCCTGAAAATGCAAGGTCTTTAGGCTCTTTATACTTTATTTTTATTCAGTTCATACTCAGGTAAAAGATCACTGGCACAGTCAGATGGCCACGTCTCCAACAGAGGGGCTTGGAGCAACTATTTCTCACCATTGCCACGATGCCAGTCTGCTTTCAGCACGGCCAGTGCAGACCATCTTCCCAAGGGACAACTGCTTCTCTAAATCCCCAAAGTGGTCATAGGCATATTAGATATAGCATAAGAAATGTCTGTGGCCACCTGAAGCTGCATTTATACCACAGCAGGGAAATACCAGTGCAAAACATCCCAAGAAAGATACAGCCAGTGGCAGTTTTTTTCCCCAAGTGCTGACTACAGGGATGGACCTTCACCACATTGATGCATACTTAAAAGTCTTCAGCGCTGCATAAAAATAATTCTTGAAGTGGAGAGTGCCACGCAGTAAGCAGAGTCACAAGCCTCATTTTGTTTCCGGATTGTCCTTAAACCCTCCTCTGTCCCCTCCAACAGGCACTGCGCTCACTTGGTTTGGCATGTTTCCATGAAGGCATAGACTTTCGCAGGCAGAACTAAGTATCGCAGAGCGGGGTAGCCCCTTAATCTCAAACAACAGTAAGGTCATTTTGGTTTTTCCTTTTCTGTTTTCACAGCCTGTGGAGATGGCATTATCTTAGTGAGTTCTCTTCTCTAGAGCAAGAAAATCCAACTACTTCCTGACAACTCTGCTATGACGAGAAGCCCACAGACAATATTCTGTGACCTTTTTTTAGCATCTTCCAGTGAATTACCAGGTTAGTTTGGGTCAAACTACTTCAGTCCCTAACAGCAGATTATTTTGAAAGGAGGAAATGTGACTGACTGACCTGAAATCGACGCATGTCTCGGGGGTTTCCTGCATTTTTTAGGCAATTTTGGTTGCATTTGAGAAAAAATTTCAAGAAGAACCTGTGGAGAAAGAGAAACAGTCATTAACCTCTTATAAACAGTTTGCAGTAGTACCATGTAACATCTGCGCATTTGGTCCAACACAGCCTTATTCACATTAGTAATCCTAGCTCAGACAAGTCATCCCATTGACTATCTATCCACAAAGGGAGCAGAGCTCATACTGCCCCAAATCCAACAAAATGGGTAATGCCATCCATAGCATCAAGGAAGTAGGAGACACATATTTCAGTGCAGCAAAAAGAGCACAGAAAAATGTTAGCCAAGAAAATTCCCTTAGGTATAAGTAGGGCTTTATTTTACAAGTTCACTGTACTGTGCAAATTTTGATTTAATACAAAAGTACTGAAAATGTTCCACTCAGCTGAAATCTCCCTTCCACAATTAAACCCAATTTGGGCATAAAATTAATGCTCAAATTGTGGTTAGTGAAAGACCAAAAATCCTGAAAGGAGGAGGGGGGAAGTCTTGGTTAAAAGCCTGACTTCACGGAAAAAATGAAATATTTTAAATGCAGTCTATTTCCTGACCATACACAGTTCACTGAAGTAGCTATATGACCCTGACATACATCTCTAAGAAAAGACATTGCATTTTACAAAGCCAAAGAAAAAAGCAAACATTTCACTGAAAATATTTCCTTCAGTGTTATGCATCAGTGGACTGTAAACTCATAAAGACAAGTCAATGAATAATAGTGGGTCTCAGATTCCAGGCTTCCTCCTTGAGAGCCAAAGTTTATCAACTTTTTGTCCAAAATAAACTACAGACTAAGGTCTACTAAAGCTCAGCTGTGCAAAATTTAATCCTACAGCAAGTTTAAAACCGAGTGCCACCAGACAGAGCAGCATTATATTTGCAATAACCATCAACTGACTAAGCAGGAGCTAATCTGACCTGTCTCCACATACAAAAAGAGGGGTGGGGGATTCTTTGATCCTGTTTCACTTGAAATTGAAAAGTTAACTCCTATAAGCATCCATCTTTAACATCCCAACTGAGTGCTACATCAGCAGCATTTGCACACGTTGCCTTCAAGAAAGGCAAAACTGCAAGGTAAACAGCTTCAGAAAATCCCTTTTTAACGAGTAGCGTTCTTCACCCTGCTCTAGTTGGGATGCCGCCTCTCAGAGGGGCAAGTCTGGGTGCTTGTCGTTCCTCCAGGCCAAGAAAGTCATACTAGGCAAACGGCTGCAAGGACAAATCAAAACTACAAGGGACTGCTTTCATTAAAGGAAAGTAAGGTAATGAGGGGGATTACAAGATGTCATATCTATGATTATCAAGGACTGGATTTCATGACCCAGGAAGACCCTTTTTGGTCCCATCTTCCTATATAAGATCAAGCAATCAACATAAAATAAACAGCCGCCACTAAACTCTTGAACAGGGGATTGGAGAGGCTGTGTTTGTTTACACCAAAATAAAGGCCGTATAAGCCATTACACTGTCTCATCAAGTAGGTTCTGATATTCAATAACTGAAAGTTGGTGCTATTTGTTGTACGTGTGTGTGTCTTTTTAAGCCTCTAATGGCCAGCTGTGACAGCCTGACTCAGATTGTGTAGAAGGAGCTGTCAGCACAAATCTTGGCATCTTGAATCCAGACAACTGCTTGCCACCAGGCGAAGGTTTGTACTCGTGCCAAAATGGATTCTGAGAGACAAGCAAATAGGGCATTAATTCCACCAAAGAAAAACGAAAAGCGAGGAGAGTTCAGCATCTTACACTTCAGACGATGGCTTTCCTGTCAACAGCTCGTCATTTAGCTCGCGAGCTATGAAGGGCACGGACACCAGATCCCTCTTGCCCTAAGCCGGCCCTGTCACGCGAAATGCTGGCAGAATCCTGAGACCACCCCTCCGCGCGAGATTGCTTGCTGAAATCAAAAGCCCGGCCATCTGTTGGGAGGCAAAGACATCCCTGTCAGCTGGGGCCTAGAGCCTCGAACAGGCCCTTATGTGGCAAAGTCTCTCAGAACCGCTCATTCTTTAGGGAGAAGGCTACACTGCCCCAAGGCTTTGCTGGGGAATTCTTCCGAGCTTTCCCGAGCGCAGGAGCAAAGCAGCTGACCACCACGGCTTGCGCTTCCTCCGAGGAATGCGCTACCCGGAGCCAAGGGCGGGAGATGTTAAAAGTATCTGCACTGAAAGGCAGCATCAAACACATAAGTGTAGAAAACACCTTTGCATTATAGCTTTCCACTGCACGTTCAAACACTGGGCCACACGGTCAACTCAAGGGCCTTCAAAATACACGGAAAGCCCTTCATGTTGAAATACCCTGCCTTCACTTTCCTCCCAAGCTATGTTGCTTGCCTGTTTAATAAGCTGATGTCAGCTCAAAGGCTTGGAAAATCAATACAAAACACAAGAGCTGTCTTTTGGGGGCTGCAAACCCTAATCCAAAGTTTCAAAATCTAACTCTGCTTGCATTGTGCTATATCCATTGAATTCTGCAGAAGTTTCATCCAAATGAACTGGAGAAGAAATGAAGCTCATCTATTTAAACCTGTCCCCCAAAAAACAAAAAGGCAAGCAAGTAAACAAAAATTCCTTTGAATGTATTCATCTCCAGAAAAATTAACTAAAAAAAAAAAAAAAAAAGAAAAAGCAGCCCATAATATTTTCAGAAGAGTGTTCAAGACACCAAGACTATGCAGCCAAGTTTGCTCACTTCATTTTAAGGAAAAAGTCATCAGTTTATAGAACACTTTCTGCCAAGCACTGTATTTTTGTTCCACCGAAAGACAAAACAAAATATAGGCTACACTTTGTTTTGGAATGCATCAGAGTCAGATTCCTTGGCTATGTGGATATTGTCCCACACTCATGTAAGAAAGAATTGAATGGCTCCTGAGCTGGCAGAAAATACACCAGCTAACATCTGGCAGGAGAGCAAACGTGTACAGCTGAGGACATGGGTATAGCGGAATGGCTTAATTCATGGGGTTCAGCCCTCTCTCTCAGCTCCTCCTTTAAACTGCTAGTTCAGGTGCATTCTCCACCTTGAGTCCAATTCTGCCAGCCTTGGTCATTAGCAACACTTCACTCTGCAAATATTTCAGATTTGGATGGACAGGATGAGTCCAGGAGAAATGCCAACAGAACTTAGCCCTTTATAAGCATAACTTGCAGCCCTGCTTGCGTCTAACTTCTTCACACCAGATTATTTCTTCAGTTCTAACTTTCTCATGATTTGGTGGGAATCTATTGCATTACTACCAACTGCAGAGGATATATAGCATTAATACTAACCTCCAGGGTCTGCAATTCATTCCCAAGATGAGAAAAATGTGCAGAGCACAAGCGTGAATAAAATCTTCAAATTTTCTCTCCAAAGCTATGTGACTGCTAATCACTGGCTCCTCTGCCACACCAGCTTCAGACATCGATTACACTCATAGCTACCATTAGAACTTTCTTTTCTACATGAATCAAACAAAACGTATCTTCTGACTCCCTTCCTGACTACTACCATAGCCAATCAATGACATATAGCGTAACCAAACGCAGCTCTCAGCGTTAAGGTGAAAGTCCCCTCTGGAAGCCTGGCAGGACGGCACATGCCACCAGCTAAGCACCAGCGCAAGGTCCAGCCCTGCTGCTGCTCCGCAGACCCTATCACCTCGCAAGCAACGCCGGGGGGAAGCTGGGCCACAAAAAATCCTCCTCGTACACACATACATCTTAGGGCAAAGATTGCATTCCTGTTTTACATCCAAATATCACCAAAAGCTTGAAAGCTTGCAAGATTTTTCATGATTCAAGGCAGTGACCACAGACTATTCATTGTCTCTGTAACTTGGGAACTCACCTAAATACAGGAGCTACCTGAGCTGGGTGCTTCGTGAATTAACACTGCAACGAGCAGCATTGAGGTATATGTTGCTGAGAAACTCAAGGCAGCTCCACATGAGTCAGCTCAGGTCCAGAAGCAGTCCTACCAGGCAAACTTTTAGAAAGCACCCAGATTTACTGACTTCCGCTGCTATTAAATCTCCTACTTCATCCCTTATCTAATATAGACACGGTTGCAAGGTATTGGACTGCAGTTTGGGGAGAAAAAAACAGAGCTAATTTTAGATGATATGCAGCTGTAGTAGAAGGCAGCTCAGCACAGGCTGCAAGAATTACTCAAGGAAGCAAGTCTTTGAGCAGTTAATCCATAGCCATGGCACTGTATTACTACAAGTCTCTTAAGTAACTGCAACAAGTGATGTAGAAATATAACCTCTAGTTAAATACAGACCTCCAGTCTGAACCACGCACAAAATTAACTTGAACTTTTCTCTTCTGTATTACAGGTGGAAACCTCTCACAAACAGGTTATTGGCTCATCTGGGAGGCTTGTCTCCCTTTATTACATTTTGACAGAAAATTCCCCCTTGAAGAGGAAGGGCTTTCCCTAACAGAACCGTGACATCCCCCAAAAGGTTTTGGTGCCAGCAGGGCTGTGCCATCACCGTTACTCTCTTCCCTCTGCTAGTGAGGGGCTGGTTCCCCAACCCAGTCTCAGCTTTCTGGGTGCCCCTGCTGCCCAGCCTTCATTTTACATGATGATTTCCCAGGCTGCTGCTTGTAACTTGCTGCACCTGCTCCCTCATAGCTTCTGGCTCTTTCCTGACACCCATCCTCTGATTTTCCTTCTGCGGCTGAAGGAGCTAGCAAGCATGCTACCAGCTGGAGTTCACTCCATCTGTATAAAAATATTCCCCATCCTTTGTCCCTGATTAGCTTTTCCATCACACTTCAAACACCTTGGGGCCTGGACATGCCTGTGCCATGCCCACCCGGCAGCACCCTACTCAGAGTCCCTGCTAGCTACCACAGTGGTTCACATTAAATAAATAACAACAGAAAAGGAAACACTAGCGCAGTAAGGATGTAAAAGGATTTGGCCCCCCTATTTTTCTTGCCACCACACATTAGTACCCGTGTTTATTAGAAACAAACAAAGAGTTAAACTAAAGAAAGCAAGCCCTGAACAGCATCTAGGGCT